TTGGCATAAGTGCATATCATTGGCAGAAGACTATTTTCAAGGCTACGAAATAGATGTAGGAGAATAAATAAAGGTTTTTAATTTTACAAACAAATTCACCTTACTTTTTGCTACTGTGGGCATGTTCTATTATGAAAATGGAAACAGCTATTTAAGCTCAGTAACAGATTTTCGTTCAATATAAAAATACTACCGCATCGTTGGGTCGCCAATATGAAGCCACTCTGTTTTTAATTCCAGACAGGAACTTACGGTTTAAATTTCTAAGAGAAAAACATTTTTTCATTAAAATAATTCGAGTTATTTTCAACTATTTATTTTAAAACCAATTTTCAGGAATTCCATTTAATTTATTTGTAAAGACTCCTGATCCATGTCTTCAACCCCCATTAACTTCCTTTTCGGTGGTGAATATTAATCTCTTTCACGACCACAACAAGACAATTACTACCGCCGCTCAGAAGAGAAAGTGCAAAAAGAAAAGAAAATGTCAATCGATATAATTATTGATGCAGTGTCATTGGCGTTGTTGTGTCATTATGAAATTCTCAATGAATTCATTTGCATGCGCTGAATTATAATTAAATAGATTATTTGAGTTTTCCATTTTCACATTTCACATCTTGTCTGCATAACGGATTTTTTGCATATATACATTCACTACACAAAACCATTACCGTCACCGTGAGCTGTTGGTATTATATTACCGAGTGTCAAAGCATTCAACCAAGCAACGGCATGAGTGAGTGCCAACATAGATGGAAATGAATGAGCCAGCTCAGCCAAGTGTCATCGCGTCATTCATTTGCACCTTACAAGTGTATCGATTGGAATATACATATATACATAAATACATGCATGACAAGGGTAATGGATTTCATAATAAAAAAGTCACGTTATGCCACGGTCTGACATGCTATGTCGGGGGGACGGGGTGCAATAATTTATGCATGCCTTGAGTATTGAGTACAAATTTTGAATTGTCAATCACTCTGTTTTGAAATTAATTCATAAGTGTAGAAGATAGAAGACAAAAGAAATAACAGAAATAATTGAAATTACAAGAAGCCATTCATTGCTCTTAGTATCAAGGGGACTTAGGGTAGGAGTAATAATGGGAGGTACATACCATACGTGTATGTATTGTAATATTTTGTAAAGAGAAGGGAATCTAAAGATTTAGAATATATAAACAGTTACTTCTTATCTTTGGACTTGGTCTACGTATTGTTTTGGTCTTTGTTTTAGTCTTGGTTTTAGTCTTGGTTTTGTTTTCGGACTTGTTTGTGGCTCTGGTTTTGTCCATGATCTTGATCTTACACCTGGCCTTGGTTTTGGTCTTGGTCTTAGTTGTAAAACTGATAGTTGTCTTTGTCTTATTTCTTTTCCTTTGATTAAGTTAGGCTTTGTTTTGACTTTTTCTCTTGGACTTGGTTTTGGATTTGGTCTTGGTCTTGGTCTTCGTCTTGATTTTCGTCTTTGTCTTGGGATTGGCCTTAGTCTTTATCTTAGTAATTTTTCTCGGGTTTGGTTTCGGATTTGTCCATGGTCTTGAATTTGCATTTGAACTTGGTTTTAGATTTGGTCTTTTGTCCTGTTTTTTCCTTGGATTTGGTTTGGAGTTTATACCGAATTTAATCCCGATTGTGATGTGGAGCTTGAATATGTTACCTACATTCATTTCCATTTCAGATTGGTGACATCCTATCTGCTTATACTTTCTGCACTAGCACATGTTGAAAGTATCAAACCTTAACCGCATCGCGACGCATAGACTCCCGTGATTAGCAAGCAAGGAGTACAACAGACGTCAAAGAGATCACACGTACATAAACCACTATCCACACATTCATCTCATCCGCATCCGTTTCGGTTACAACCGTCCTCTTAGTTAGTCTATTAAGCATCTCATCGCATTCATGTGCTTATCCGCACACTCATCCGCATACGACATCCGACGCACGCAGTCGAGTGAAATGCCAAAGGTGTCCGACCTTTGCTGCGAGCATGTGTACTATTGATTTCATTTGCCTTTGCTTGTTGTCACTGTAGCTGTTTCAGTGCTTTCAGTTACCGCTGTCAGCGCACCGTTGGCGAAATCAAATTGAAAACGCACAAATTAATGAGTTCAACGTTACTCAAAACAGACAAGACACTCTTCAAACAGCGTCGGCAAAGACGACTTCAGTACACTATTGATCTCGATTTCCTGTCAGCCATTGTTAGAGGAAGCCCCTGATTAAGAACGGCAACGCACCAACGGATGTCTGTCTCTAAGCCCCAACAACTTGAAAGAGTCGAAAAAGCAGTCACAATTGGTCTGCTTGAAGATAGAGAAAGAAAAACGTTATGTGTGTGTATGTAAGTAGGCTCTTCAACTCAAATTTAGATACACGCACGTGGCTTGCTTTTCAGGAGCTGTTGGTTATAGGTTTCCCTTGTATATGCCCGCGCTCGTTTTCACTTTGTGGTTTCCAAGTACGCTGTTGTTGCCCATGTGGTTGAGCCCACATATCGGTACGTATGTAAACATAACATATGTGACATTTCCTCTTTGAAGAAATTGAATTGCGGCTTGTCTCCTACTAAATTTCGTCTTCTTCATGTAGCTCACTTGTCGTACTTCGCCCAATCATTTGTCCATCCGTTGATTCAATCTGTACGTGTTGACAAACATTTCCAGCGCAGCTCAATACACTCACTCAGTTCAACATCAAGTGCCTATTTGCCAAATCGCATTCATGTGCGCTTCTTTACTCTCTTTCCCCGTGCACCTCTAGCACCAATCGAGTTGTGACTGTGACTTCCTGTACTGAATGTGTGGGCGCTTTGTAGTGTTTTTGGTGTCCATTAACATCCGCACTTATCCCTTTATAACACAAAATTGTTAACTGATATTTTCATGTGGAAGTTTAATTCACTGTAACTGTCGCTTCGCTTCCCGAGTAGAGGTAGTGTTGATGTGTAGGCCGGAAGCGGATAACACTGTTACAAAATGGTGCAAAGATTTGCGACAAGAAGAAAACTATTAGAAAAAAATCGGTTTCCGACTGTTGTGTAACTACTAATTAAGGAATTACTTTATATCAGTCGATTCGCGTCTTTAGGTAGATTTGTGAAGATGCTCATATTGAAAAAAAATAATAAAAAAATAAATAAATAAAATAACATAAAATAACTTAAATAAAAATGTAATTAAATTTAAAAAAAAGTAAAACAAATAAAGTTGTATAAAATATAATATAATATAAAAATTATAAAAAAATAAAATATATCAGGTGTACAACTTTGCTTCCGCCGATTTTTTTCCGAAATTAAAAGCTTTATTGCCAAAAAGTGCTTACAGATATATTGTTCAAAGTATTGCCCTTCGCTAGCTACAACTTTCTCCCATCCTTTTGGCAATTTTCGGATCCCGGCTCGTAAAAAGGAGTCCTCTTTTGACGCTATCCATGTAGCAATCCATTTTTCCAATTCTTCGAAGGATTGAAAATGTTGAACTGCCAGGCCGTGTGCCATCGAACGGAATAGGTGGAAGTCAGAAGGGGCGACATCTGGGGAATACGGCGGGTGGGGCAAGACCTCCCACTTTAGCGTTTCCAGGTACTTTTTCACCACTTTTGCGACGTGAGGCCGAGCATTGTCGTGTTGGAGGATGACTTTGTCATGTCGCTCTTGATATTGTGGCCGCTTTTCTTTCACACCGAGCTGATCTCACCAAATACAAATCGTAACCACCATGTTTGTTTTCGACATTGAAATCACCATTTTTAAAACGCTGAAACCACTTCCGATACGTTTTTTCACTCAGAGCAGCATCACCGTAAGTTTCTGAGAGCATTCGATGCGCTTCAGCTGCATTTTTTTTTTTCGAATTGTAACAGAAAAGTAAAACTTCCCGCAAATAGCGAGAATTAGGCACATGAACGGACATTTTCGAGCGTGAATAATACAAAAACAAGAACAACTGTCACTGAAACGGCGATGACAATTCGTTAGGCACTGTCCACACTCACTTTAAAGGAATTATCATCTATGTATTTCAACCAGCCTCAGCCGGTACAGCCACCTATCGGAAAACGGCGGAAGCAAAGTTGTACACCGGATATCAAAATTAAATATCATAACATAACATTTTTGGTTTTACGATTGACATTGGTCCAATTACCGAAGAAAGAGGAATAATCCGACTTTATGAATAGCTCAGTCCCTGGTCCACTTCCTGGGGAGAAAGGATTTTACTGTTAATCTAAGCAAAAACCTATCTATGTACCGAATTGCGAGAAAATCCAGCAACTCTTGGAAATTACTGGATTGTACTCAGCATACTTTTAGGCTTTAGTTTTTGATTCCTGTCATTTTAGGTATTTATTTCTATATGCATTTGCACTTAAAGCGTCTATTATATGCTAAATTCAGGGTGCTTGGATGATAATCGATGGCTTGTATTATTTCATGCTTAGATGTTTACCAGTACCCTGAATTCCAAGAATTGCACGGAGCATTGCCTCGCTGCACAAATTTTGAAGATCAAACGAGCTCACGGTACAAATGGAATGGTCACCCCACCTAGTCACCAGCTCTAGTTTTTCACATGGAGTTCACACCCGAACTCCATTAAGATTCAAACGGTTCTATGAATTAATTCAAGCGTATTATTTAACATTACCTTCCCCACAGGGCTTAGACAATACTAATTAAAATAATATAAAATAAAATGATAAAAATTATAAAAAAAATAAAGTAAAATTTAATGCTATAAATTAAAATAAAACAAAATAAAATAAATTAATTCAAGCGAATCAAAATAAAACAATATAATATAAATATAATATAAATTAAAATTAAGTCAAATTAAATGAAATAAATTCTAATTGTAAGTTGTATGTAAACAAAAAATATATTTCATTAATTATAGTTGTTGCTGCTCTTTCCTTTGTAGCTTCCTCTTGAAGTCATTAAAAAAACTAAAGTTTTTTTTCTTCTTACTCACTCCCTAGATCCCTATGTCGTCGCTTGGAAACGTGGCATCGCCATTCTCACCGCTGGCAATGTGAAAGTAACACCCGATCCGCGTGTATCTCGCGCCGAGAGATTCAATTTACAAATCCGCGATGCTGTGCCACAGGATGCCGGCGATTATATCTGTCAGATAGCCACAATGGAGCCACGTGAAATCACACACACAGTCGAAATATTGGGTAAGTGTTTGCAAAACGTACAAAAAATATGCATAATCAATTACTAATTATTAATCAATTATTAGAGCAGAACAAAGCCGCGCAACGCATCAGCTGTTTAGATGCCAATAAAAACGGAGATTATTATGCATCTAATTAAAGCTAAAAATTTTGAGAGAAATTTTCATCAAACGCCTACTTGTTGTTGGATATGAATTTTTTATCATTATTTTTATTTTTATTTTTTTGTTTTTTTTTTTTTTTTGGGTTTCCAATTGTTGCTGTACTCGAAAAATGTATCGTTAGTTAATTTTGTGTGTGTTTACACCGCTGCCTATATACGCGTACATACATATGTATACATATATTAGCATTGTGTACACACTGTCTGTCATTCAGTGAGTAGTGCCGCGCCGGATGTGTGTCAACAAGTTCCGCAGCGGTAATACTATTCCATTACTATTCGCCCGCTGACGGCACGCAGTCGCGCAATAGTCATTTTGTTGTTATTTACAAGTGTGTGTGGCACTTTTGAGCGTTATCTATGTGAATATGAATATGATAATCAATTTTTCGAAAACGAGTTTTCACATGAATGCACCGTACCATTGCATCGGTTGCACTGCTGTTGCCTCTGCTCTGCCGCACATACTTGTATTTGCTCTTCCAGAAGAATGATTTATATTGATGGAGCGCAAATGCAATTCAATGGGAATTGAATGATGAATTTTCGAGTGATCAACCAGTGCAATTGTGTCAAGGATAATGAACCTAAATCGCTCATGTGTGTGTGTGTGTGTGTGTGTGAGTGTGTGTGTGTAGCGGCATTGAATTGAGATTATTGTTTGAAAATTGCATATTTCGGAGTTCACTTTAAGCGGAAAATTTTATACATTTTTAATGAAGTGCACACACGCCAACAGGTGAGCTCGCCTGTGTGCTTTCGGCTAACAGTGAGTTAATTAATTTTGCTTGTGTGCGTGTGGTTTAATCTACATATTTCGGTTTGTGCATTAATATATGGTTTGTTTGTCAAAGCGTCTCTTTGATAAATGCAGCGATATTCGCAATATAATTCCTAAAATTTTATTTGTTATTTGAGTGATTGAGTTTAGAACAATCGAAAATAATTAGAAATGCTTTATTAATGGGATGTTTATAACACCGCCGCTCAATATTTTTAATTCGAAACATTTTTCGGAAAATTTGCCAAATTTATCTAACCCAGTCGCGCAGCCAGTGTTGTCGTTTTTAATAAAGTTTTTCCGAATCTCTGGGCAGTTAAAGGTGCAAGTGCTTTGCCCTTTATTGTAAATTTTTTTAAATATCTGCCTATTTTAATTTTTTTTAATTTATATTTATAATAGATATTAAGTAAAACTTAAAAATATTTCATATTTATATATTTTATATCATTTTTTAATAATAAACTTTAATCCCTTTCATAGAAAATAGGTAATGTGCAATTTGCTAAATGATAAGTACATTTAAAAAAAATAAATCTTATTGAATATTTTTTTTTGGTTTTAAAAAGAAATGGAGCCACCGCGTTTGTCCGCCACTTGGTTCAGTCTGCCTGGCACTGAATTATCTCATTTTTCTAGTAAGGACAGGTAAATATTTTCCTCTCCTCTACAATTGCGTGCTTAATCTGGTTTGATGTCTCGTTTTGCTTTGTAGCAACGAAACTTCCCGATTCACATCAGGACTTAGAGCCAATCACTGTAATAGAGGAATGTTGTGCGATTCAAAAACTTCATTGCAGGTGGATGCGCTGTCTCGTTTAAAGTTCAATTGACGCCATGAAAATGTTCTGTAAATGTAACAATTCTATATATATATCTATCTATATATTGTAAATCATACCTTAATGGGCACACCTAGTGTAATGACCTAAAAAAGGTAATTTTTGGAAAGTTTTAATAAAAAAATACTTTGTCAATTAATTCAAAATTTTAAGAATATATTTATACATGTTTCAAGAATATACAGTGAAATTTTTGAAGGAAAAAATTAAATATTTTTTAAGTTATAGTCGGCGCGAAAAAAGGTCCTTCACTGCTGCAGTGATTCTGGCCTTCTCCGTGGATGAAATCTAAACAAAAAATTCTCGATAAGATAATATTGTGTGTACAATGACCTACGATAAAAAAATCAAAAATTGACTATATAAAAAATAGTCGAACTTTACCCAAAATGTTGGTTTGAACAGATCAAAAATCGATAGCTCATTTTACGAAGAAATATATATAGAACATGTAAAAAAAAATCGACAGTGATCGGATCATTTGTTTTTGAGTAACCACTGCAGCAAATTCGGAAAGTGATGTTGCGAGAAGAACGCGTTTAAAGATAAAATCATCGTTTTCACTCGTTGCTAAAGAGACTCTCTAGCTGCCGAGCGGCTGCCATTCATATTGCTATAACTCAAAAACTATTTGAGATATCGATTTGAAATTTTAATATGTTATTTTTAAAGATGTAATCTACCGAAATATGAAAAAAAAGATTTTTTTGGAATTTCACACTAGGTGTGTCCCTTAAGGACCCCATGCCTTCGTATATCTCACCAATACTTATGATGCCCTTCTGCACCATTTAAATTAAATTTATTTCACTATCTATTTTTATTATTACTTAATTCACGTCACTAAAGATAACTGTTTCAAATGGGTCGTCCCAGAACTTGTATTTTTCGTACGAGTAGAAGGCCATGCGTTCTTTATTATGGCTATGCGTCATAACTGGGGTGCAAATCCTGTCTCAAAATTTTTTGAAGCTACCTAGCCGTGTTACCTGAAGACCTAGTGCTGCTCTGACCTTAGAGCAACTCATCATATCATGTGAGACCAGCTGCCATACTCGTATATGCCTTTTGGTGCGCTCATCTTTGGTAGGTTTTGGTCTGCTACGGTTATTTGGAGATATTGTAACATTGTGGACTTTTTAGAAAGTTTCGTTTAGTATTCTTTAAGTTTTAACTGCTCTTCAAATGAACTTTCAGTACCAAGTGGCAATTTAAGCTAAAATCTATATCTATTGTTATTTTTGTAATATATATTTTTGTTCTAATATATATATATATATTATTAGTTATGAACTTCCTGGTTACAGTGATCACTTGAATTGCGTAGATTTTAACGCTAAGGCATTCTAAGATGCATTTTGCTCATATATCTATTTTCTAAGAAATTCACTATCAGTCGTCGCGTTCTATCTTACTGTAGAATAAGAAAAAGTTCCGTTATCTATTGAATGTTCCGCACATACAACTAAAGCATACATAAACTACATGGAAGGAAAAAGCATCTAAAAAATTGTTTTCTTTTTCATTTATTTGTATATCCATTTTACTCAGGAATTCAGTTCAATATGTAACTTTAATATATATTTATATACTGAAGCAGATCACAAGAGATATTCATTTACATTTCTAAACGCACGGGCTTCCCCCAATACGTGTATATTCGAACGAAAGTTAGACCCTGTGATAAGTGTTCTCAAACGTTTGCTGCCTTTCTAAATCATCCATTACTATTAAAATCAAAAACAGGGAAACATAAGTTTTGTGTCTTAATGCTGAGTTGTTTAGTGGATGGCTGTTCGATTATGGCCTGGCGATCTAAAGCTATACTTATCAAGTGTATAAGATGATGTTGATCTGACATCTGATGATCATCACAAATTGGGCGTGGAGCTCTGCCTAAAATAAAATCAGCGGCTAACAAGAGATAAATTTGTGAAAATGTTAACAAGATGAGTTAGTTTTTTTTGTATAAAGTGCCATTGATAAAGTTTTTTGTTTTTAGCCAACATTACAAATACTAATCAGCGGCCCTCTAAAATTAATTAGCATATTTTAAAGTAAAGTAAAGTAAAGTAAGTTTTACTTCTATCTAATTATGCGCGTCTTTTTTAATTCACGCTTATAGCTCTGCACTACTGGAAGCTCCCTTATATTTTCTTACTTCGGAATTTCACTGCTCTGTTGGAGTCCTACACGATGGTTTACCAATATTGATTGGCCGAGGAGTATCCGCAGAAAGCAGAAGTGTAAGTCGAGCAGAGTTTTATAGGGTTAACCATTTGGGGGGTTTAAAAGCACAGGGCTGTATTTTGACAACTGCTAATCTTAACTGTGAAACCAAACATGATTTGTTTTAGTTGAAATTTAGGCATTTATGAAAATGGATTGCTAACAACCACACAACGCTTTAAAATTGTTAAAATTTGCTACAAAAAATATGATTCATACATGTCCAAGCTTTGTGCTTAAGGACTAGATTATGGTGCTTATAATCATCGAACTACTCAAGTAAGTGGCAAAAATTTTACAGAGAGTTGAAGAAACTGGATCTGTTATAGATACTATAAAGCCTGTGCATCATAGTTCGGCTCGTTTTACCTCAAATATCGCCGATTAAGCGCCTAAAAGTCCTCTCTCGGGGAACGAAAACCAAACTCTACGAGTCGCTTATCATATCCTCCAACGATATGGAAGACAGGCATGGAACCATGAGTCGGTTTTGAGTGTCGTCGAGAGAAAAATTTTGCGAACGATTTGTGGTCCTCTGCGCATTAGCAACGGCGAATACGGCAGAAGATAGAGCGTTGAGCTGTACAAAATATACGATAACGTCGACAAAGTTCAGTGCAAAAAACAGTGGCAGCGTAGGCTAGGTCATGTGGTCCAAATGCATGAAAGCTCTTCAGCTTTGAAAGTATTCTATGTCCCCTGGTGGAAGCAAAGGAAAAGGAAGACCTCCACTCCGTTTGGATCAGGTGGAGAGTGGCCTGGCTTCACTAGGTATTTGCTACTGACGCCTAACGGCTATAATCGCGTAAGCGTTGCCAACGCTACTAAAGAAGAAGAAGCGCTTGAATAATAAGCAAAGGAAGGCGATTTTTCAAACACACTTCTCACTCGGGCGTTGCAGAAATAAGCAGAATTTGTCATGTTCTCAGAGAATTCTGTAATAATTAAAGAGAGGTGACTTGACACTGTTTGAATGTTTTTATGG